CACTCGGCCGATTTCGAAAATTCTTTCACCATTAAAAAGCTACGTTATCACTGAGTAACAATGTTTTTTTGTTTTTTTTATTCACGCGGGTAAAGTCCCGAACAACAGCTAGTTAGGTATATAAATGAGAAAAAGGTGTGTTTTGGTATGTTTCATTTAAGTAAATGATTGTACATTTCGATTTATTGATTTAAAAAAAAGAGACTCTTATTTTCGCTTTAAAGCAATATGAAATTGCGGTTTCGGTATAATCTCGTAAAAAGCTATTTTCTGATATTAACCAGACGGGGAAAATGGAAGAGAGAGAACAAAATGACAAATAAAATAGGCTTTTTTCAATATGACCCTAATCTTTTGGTTCGTTAAGTGATACATAAAAGAAAATAAACGCCGTCTTTAACCTTTATGTTACGATTTTATTAATTAGAATTTTTCAAATTAAGATACTCCATTTTTATATATTTAATGCAATTTTAAAAAGGTATGTACTCACTGGCACATACATTCAAATGAGACTTCATGCGGCTCTTAAAAATAAAACTATAGTTTTCTCATTCAAATCTAGGAGGGATTTGCGTAAGGGTAACTGCCACCTTCGATCACCTCACTTTTCAATGTGGAACACTTAGAGAAAAATTTAGAACTACGCTACAGAAGATCTACAAATACCAAATGGAAATCAGTCTTATTACTATTACAATCGACACATTTGACTTACTATAATAAATAGAGAAACCGATTGTAAAGACGGTCACCGATGTTTCAAACTATCAAACATCAATGAACATTTACTAGATGTTGCCCGTGACTTCGTTCACGCAATGTTAAGATAAAAAAAAGTATCCTATAATATGCGCGACAATGTCTTCAATGAAAGTCCGCTCAAAATCGGTCCAGCCATATCGGAGATTACCCGAAACAAACGTGGCTTGCGGATAGACAGACAAAAAAAGGTTTTAATTTTATTTTAGTTATCAGCAACGCAAATACATCATCTTCCCGAAATCAGGAATTTTTCTTTTGATATTACAAACATATACTCCAATTTTATTATATGTATAGATTTATTTCCAAGCGTAGAACGCAATTTTAAAATAATGTAGATTCCGTTGCGAGTAACGGCATTGTGTAAGACTACTATGACCGGCCCCGCTGTAAACTGCTGCATCTAAATACTGCCGCTGCAAATGAATATATGAACTGCATGTTCGATTTAATACGAGATACGCAAATAGGTCGAGCTATTTCCTATTGCTATTGTGGCATTTACTTTAAGAGTTAGATTAAATTATTCCATACTACGAAAAAGGAATGTTCAAAAAGACATACATTTATCTATTTACTAGCTTTCGCCCGCGACTCTGTCCGCGTGAAATTGGAAAAAAATGTGAAAATGGCATGTGTTCTTACAGACTATCTTATACATGTATGCCAAATTTCATCGAAATCCGTTCAGCCGTTTAGGCTACAAACTCTAGCAAACATCCATCCATATAAACTTTCACATTTATAATATTAGTAAGATTATCGTATTATAACGTTATGTAAGTATATACGGTAATGATTATTAGTTAAAAGGTTAGTAGAAGTGAGTAACTATATTTTCCAAAAGCATTAAACAATACGAATTTCTGTTTAAACTTGTAATTTTGCTATAGAAGATTTCTTGTAGCATTACAAGTGAGTGATAAAAGGCTTGATTTCTCTAATTACAGATATAATTATTAATGCTTTGATAATGGTATGAATGGTTTTGTTCTTAAAAGCTTTACTGAAAATCACTATTCCGGATTTTCTACTTCAAAATGTAGTTTTTTTAGTTCAAGTAAAATAGACTTAGCTTTGCCTGGAAAAATAGACGTTCCCGTTGGATGCGACGGGTTTTTCCTAGTCAAGAGTCACGGTCGCCGCTTCAACGTGAGCATGCATTTATCTTTTTATTTTATATCTATTTTTAAACAAAACATAGACTAGAATATTCAAATGATAAAAAATAGTCACTATTTTTATACTCGTGTTTTTCAAGAATTTACCACGACGAAATACAGAAATAAAATGTTCAAGGTGTAAATCTAAATTTAACTTCTAATTTCAACATGAACCTTAGAGATACAATAAAATTATGGTTTTATCATATAGATTTGGATACGTGCCCAATGTACACGTACAATAAACATAATATCTAATCATAAGTTTAATCGGTCGCTGTCAGATTTACTATCTAGCAGTACGAGCGTAGCCTTGATCCAACTATTGCTTCTATTTCTTTAACATTTTCAATTCTAGTTGGATTTTCACATAATCCTTCGAGTCAGCTGTAAATGTGTTAATGATTATTTAATGGGATGATCTAATTAAATGCAAAGCAAAAAAAACTAGCGCCAATAGCCTAAAAGATCTTGCGGTCGAGAATTCGAACTGAGAAATTGAGTGGTTAAGGACATTATTAGTAAATTAACATTATTGCGTGCGAGACTAAATTAAAAAGGTGCATAAGTTGTCTATGATGGTTCTGTCTAAATGTATTAATATTTTACTAAAGTTAAAAAAGGGAATTTAAAATTATCTTATCTTTGGTCCAACAGGGTCTGCTTAGTTACCCTTTGGATAAAGGTGTGGGTACCCTTATTAACAGATTTCTAAAACGAGGCTATCAAATTGTCTGATTTTTTTTGTGTCTGTGACCTAATTTGTTAAGTTATAGTGTTTACAATCTGTCTACTCCGATTATGTTAAAAACCCAAAATGTTTTTTGTTTCAACTTATCCATTAATTTATTTCAGATGTCGCAAATTTTTTTGTCGCTGAATTGTTCTGTTCGTGTTGTTATTGTTCAACTTACCGAGAGTTTTGTATAATTTTTCTTTGAGTTTGTAGAACTTTTTTTTTTACTTTTCGAATACAGAATGATTTAATGTATTGTCTATAGAGGTTTTTTCTTTTGTTTTTGTATAAATTATGTCAACTGCGTATATTTTTATAGCATAAGTTTGTCGGGATCAAATGACTTTTGTTTTATTTATTTCATCTTAGGTTACAAGTATTATTGTTATGAAATAATGCTTCTATATTTAAATGTTAAGATTCTGCTATTCATTTTTAATTCTATCTGGCGACGCAAATGATTTCGTAATCCTTTCGTCCTATGCAATTAGATTTTACCATAAATGTTTTAAAATTAACGATTGCTTCTAGAATATGAAAACTTATCATGTCTACTTGTTCTTCAATAAAGGATTCTCGTTGTCTTATTTTGATTCGAATATGTTTTGAAATATGAAAGGCTTTAGTTGTACAGGTGCGTGGGTTTGCATTGTAGAGAGCCGCCATTGTTCGGTCCGAGGCGGGCCTGACCACACCTACCATTCACACGCCTTTTGTTAACTCTCCGTTAGAATTAAATGTGGACTAATTTACGTTTTGATAGACGTATATAAACCAGACAATTTGCTATGGCCAAAACACGGCGAACGTGCCATTTGCTGGCAATGAAATAATGTTTACTTTGTCTTCACTCTGCATTATTTCTTTCATGTCAGTATGAGAAAACAAAATTCCGAATTAACTTTTTAGACAGATTGTTAAAAGGATTTGCTTAGACGCTTTTTTGCAGTAGATCTAAATTTTCCGATATGGCGTTTAATCAACATTTAAAAAACCAATAATGGACAAAAGCTTTTACTTAAGCGATTTTCGTCATGATTCGAATCTCAACAAGGATTGATTAATATCCCTTTGTAGTATAAAATGAGACAAAAATAAAACTGGATTTAAACTCAGGAGCTCGTGGTTTAAATGCTACTTTAATTCAAATCAATTTTATAATCACTCCCGTATATATTTTTTTTCAAACATAAAACGATGTAAACTTTTTAAATTTTAAAGTTGTACATTACTAACTTTTTAAAACCGTTCCTTTTTCTTCGCTAAGAAGTTTCTAAGTACCTGTATAAAGTTTATCTTTTCTTTCATTAAAACGGTAAAAGTTAATAAGGAATAAAGTCTTGTTCATTTTGTTGCATCGAGTTTTGTTTTGTTTATGAACCGCGCTGACGATTTGTGGCTACTGAATTATCAAATCTGTTTGTCCCGGAAAGTTACCAGAAGAATATTTAAGCGCTGTGGTACCTTTTATTTGTTTCTTCAATTTAGAAACGTATTTATTCATTCAGTTGTCTTAACTTCCTACCGCCCCATTAGTGTAGTACGCAGAGAAATATTGTTTATTTTTTAACAAGAAATGCGCCGTCATCACGCAGTGCTCACTGCTAGCGAGAGAACGTCACGTTTTCGCCGAACCGTCTTCCTGTCGCCGACCCGGATTTCTATTGTCGAACTGTTGTTTTTTTACTTCGCTTGTGATTTTATAAAATAAACATTTACTAATATAAGTACAATATTATCTCTGAAATTTAATCTAACAATCTAAAAGAAGATTAGAATCATCACATTTCGAAAGTAAACTATAGACACAAACATTTTCTTTCAATAAAGGTCTTCGCCAAAATGCTAACACTGTCAGCGTCAAGAAAACATCTAATAAGCATACAGTATCAGAGTCAACGAGCATGAGACGAGGAGCAGGTGAATGAAGCAACGGATAGAAAGGATGTGGACGTCAGGAGTTTGACAAGTCAAAGGGAAGAGACACGAATGAGACGCGGCAGCGTTTACAGCGTGAGCGAGGGCGTGGAGCGGTGCGGTTGTGCTAGGTAATACTTATTAAGGTTATCGCTCATTAAACTCATTAAACAATCTTATCGCCGTCAAATGTACCACACGGTGCGCCGTCGGCCTAGGTCTGGCTCACTAATAAACCTACCTCACTGGTTTGGTTTTTTAACAAGCAGCGTTTCTGGAGCACTTGTGGTCAGCCTTATCAACTACTTGGTATCCACCTTATTGATCATAATATTAATGTGTTAATGGTGTGCAGGTAGCGCGGGTGGGGGCGCGGGCGCGGGTGCGAGTGCGGCTGCGAGTGCAGCCGGGCGCGGCTGATGGCGGGCTGGTGGTCGCCGCCGCGCTCCGCCTCGCCGCCGCCCCGCGCCCCGCCGCCGCCCCAGCCCCACGCCTGTCGCTGTCCCCACATCCTGTCCAACAGCTACCACTGCTTACCGCACTATGGCAAGTACTAAATCATCAGAAATACTGGATTCGTTTTATGACTGATAAAAACCTATCATATTTCTCTAGAAGGTTATCACGAGGGAGAAGAGGAATCCAGCGGCGGGGCATTACGGGAGAGGGAACTGCGGTCTCTACATCGCACCGTGCCTGCTCTGCGCCGCCGCGAGCTGGACACCAGGCCCATCAAGCACCACTTCTATCCCGAAGGGGGTTGGGGGTAAACTTGATCAATCATTAATTCCATTGCAAACAAACACGCTATACAAATGAGGTTAATTGACCGCGTCATCCGCAAATGAGTTTCTTTCAATCCCTTTTCCTTTTATGAAAGCTGGCCTTTGCAAAGAATTTAGAAAAATAACAGAAGCTCAGCAGAAAAAGTTCAGAAAAAAAACATACAAATAAAACAGAATTAACCAAAGATCTGTCTCCTTTATTCTTTTTTCATTCTATCTTGTTGGTTGTATGAAGCCATAGTAACTGGACAAAATTGTAAAGATACGGTTAAGTATAATTGGAAGATAATCAGACCGTAAAAGTCTACATCCTTTACAGTTCTGAGACGTAGTATTTTATGGTCGACCGAATTCGAATGCCTAATACACGAAGAAAGGAATAAAAACCGTAGACGTATAAATGTAGCTGAGCAGTTTGTAGAATTAGCCAACTGATTTGATAACAGATAGGTCGACATTGTGGAAGATCCTTGAATAGAGACCGCACAATGTACTCAATGCTCCAAACATATCTACTGACGAAGTTACAATAAAATGCACAATTAGAGAGTGCGTATATCTAAGAATGAATAGAATATAACTAGGGTTATAGCACTTCACATCAAATTTTAAGTAGGGTCGAACATATGTTAATTTAAATTATAAATGATTTTATCCACTTTTGATTCTCATTACCGAAGGTGGATGCTTCAATCTGGCAAATTTTCAATAAAATCAAACAACGAAGAGGCAAACACTGATATCGTGTAGTGTACTAAAAGTGCCAAATTTCCGATTAACAGAAGCCGTTCGGTAACGTTACTTTTAGTACAGTGCCGAGTAACATTACTTTTTAGTACATAGTACGTGTACTACCCAAGACTACTAAGAACTTAGCGAGTTTATAAGTAACAATATTCTTGCATTATCGTAGACCGAAAAATTCAACAAAAACGATAGAATTTAAACCTCAAAACTCTGAAATTAGTATAGCAGATAATAAACGAAAAAGACATTTCGAAATTTCATTACAATACCATTTTCGATGGTCGCTTACAATAGCTTGTGAGTCATCTTTGAAACCGCTCGTTGTAATTTCCTATCCAAAAATACACAAACACAAATACAAGTCAACTTCCGTAAAATTTCCTGGCCGGATCTTTACAAGAAATAAATATTATATTACGAATTTTCCCCATAAAAGCTTCTTAATTTTCTTTCGGTAAATTAACTTTGTCTTAATCTTCTATTATTTTTGGTTTTGTGTACGTTGAATTAAAACGTAGTTTTGTATTGCAGTTGGATAGTTTGTGGTGCCGCGTTCCTAGCACATCTGCTATCGACAGGATTACAGCTGGCTTACGGAGCTTTACATGTTTATGCTTTGAGACATTTGGGTCCGACAGCCGATCACGCTGGTAAGTAAAACTATAACTAGTCTCCAGTTCGCCGTCCTATCCTTACCAAATCGAAACAGAGGGAATTTGAAGCTGACCAAAATTTCGACACACATTGATCAGACAAAAGGTATCTTCGGTACGAATTTAATATTGCATCGTTACCAGACATTCGTATAGCAGTTATTGCATTCCGTAAAGTTTTATTGCATTAAAAGTATCTAGATGTTATCATGATCAAACCGCATAACGGTATTAGATAAAGTCTTTCTCGGAGATAGTCTTCACATTTCGTTCAGTCACGTATTCAATTGATTTCCGACCCGTATCTTATATTAAATCAAGAATTCAATTATATAGTTGATGAATCGAAAACACAACTCACGTGAAATTAATTATCCCTTTAAGTGGCAATAATCGATAAAGGATAAGACAAATACGAAAAGCGAACGGACAAATTCTCATTTCATTAAACTAACTAACGTCAACTTACCTGTGCGGAATTATCTTTTATTTCCAATTTCGTTTGCCTTTTTATTTTTATTTATTACTAGCTTTCGCCCATGACTCTGTCCGCGTGGAATTAAAAAATAACATTGTGAAATATAGCCTGTGTTACTTACAGATAAATTACATTTCTAACAGTGAAAGAATTTTAAAAGCGGCCCTGTAGTTTTTCAGCCTATTCATTACAATTAAACAAAGTTATCCTCTTTATAATATTAGTATAGATTCAATTACAAGTGTGTTACATTCTTGAGTATTTATGATATTTTAAATATGTTACAAAATTCTATCAGATTATTGACCAATGTTGGTATTACCAATCAATAAACCGTTTTCGAAATAAACGAGATGAAGGGAAATACTGAAAGCGTTTTAACAGATTTAATTAAGTTGTACAAACGTGTAGATATAGTATCTTAAAAAATAATGACACTCTCACTATCTAATAATTACTAAGATCATTTTCTTATAAATTCAATCTATAAAATTAATGTTTGTGTATAGATCGTAGTGTAATAGGCGGTAAAAGTAATTTCAATTATTAACAAGGCCTTTGTTTGTTGTTAGGGCGGGACGTAAGGCTATATTTCTGTCAGATCCGGATTTCAAATTATAATTTGGGCATGGCGTAGACAAATTTAATTTTAGCAACGGAAACCCTACACAGATAACTTAGTTAGAAAACGTCGTTACGTTTTGTAACACTAATTTAAGTATAACTTGGCAAATAATAAACATGATATTTGAATATGGCCTGTCCCACTAATGGCTGATAGAGGCTCAGATAGCCTCAAATGATATCAGTGTCAAATAAGGAAACAGAATCCGATATTTCCATCATATATTTTTTCGTTGGATTATTACCAGATAATTTACAATTTGGTGGGACAGGCCCTAAAACATCTAATATCTAATTAAAATTATTGGTTTTGGTTACAATATAGTCATGGTTTCGTATGTGTAATATTAATAGACATTAATTATGAACTAACACTAAGTATAATGGAGAAATTCCTACACGTCTATCTATTCGGCAGTAATATGCGACTCTCAAACTTCGACGGAAGGCACAACTTTAAGCTTATATCAAATATCTATGTCACCTATTTGTGTATCAAAATTTCTTAAAATAACAATAAATACATTTTGATATCATGATCATGAAATTGTTTCGCCTTTGATTATTTGTAACTGCGACGAAATATTTGAAGATCTCTCGAGAATTTATGCTCTTCTTATCTTTCAAGATCTTTGAGTCATCAAATATAAAAAGATTCACCACGTTTATAACTCTCAACTTTTAAAAATATTATAATCTGCTTTTTAATCTTCATTAATCATTAGTAAGTAACGAGGTAGATTTAAATTAATGTAGATATATCGGGGACGTTGCAATTATCATTAAGAAAATTGGAAATCTGTTTCAATGTGTGCAGGGTCCACAGATCGTGATTGCATTTCAATATTTATACATGAATGAATTCGACAAATTTAAATAAAATTTTTAGCGGTATGTTTAAAATCTACATTTGTATTCTCGGAATGAAAATGATTTCGTAATCTTCCCGTTGAAATGACAACAGCTTAAAAGGTTTTCAATGTAACTAACATCTTTTACAAATTTTGAGTGTTTAAGGTCAAGCAGCTTTTATCGAAAGCGACCAGAGGCCAGCAGCATTTTTAGCGGTGAGTTCAAATTGCGGTTGTGCTAATGTCTTTGTGTAACAGTTTGGGCCGGTGCTATTTGCGTGGGCGTGTCACGTGCGGCTGGCGCGCTAGTGGCAGGTCGAAAACGGTCGCCCAGACTGGCTGCCTTACTGGGTGGACTTCTGTTACCGCTGGCCTGCCTCTTCACTTCTTTCGCCACACAACTGCATCAAACTTTACTCAGCTATGGTAAATTTTTTTAACATAGTCGTTAGGAACCGAATTAATACATTTCTTAGATCAGGATCGTCATCGTAGTCATTTAATTTTGAGATTAAAAACTGAACTATTAAGCTACAATTTAGCATAACAATATATTTATGGAGAGCTATGCGGGTTTTCAATAGTTTTCAAATAGCACTAAGGGCTATCCTCCAGGTATAGTTCTGGGCGTTGGTTGCGGGCTGGTGCGGGAGGCGGCGGGCCTGGTGCTGGGAGCGTACTTTCGCAGGCGTCGGCAGTTTGTCGAACTAGTGGCACACGCCGGCGGTGGTGTCGGCATTGCGCTCTTCAGTGTGGCATATAAAGAGGCAGTGGGGTAAGACATTTTATGAACGTTGGTATAACTTAGTATTAAGATTCAAACTATCTGACAACTTCTGGTTAACTGTGACCGCATATCTTAATCAGCGTGGTTCTAAATGAGCCTACTGGAGGAAAGCAAGGTTTCGGCTCACGTAATTTCTATTCTCTTGGTGGTTATAAATATAGCCTGATAGATGAACACGTTCGCCGTATTTAAATGATGTTGAATAAATGATCGCAGTAAACTGGGATGGCGACTAGGTCTGCAAGCTGTGACAGTTGTGCTAGTCCTGGCGTTTTTTCTAAGCGCCGTGTACCGCAGCGCGTCACTGTATCATCCGCAACGGAGAGCGATACAGCATTTAAAAAATCAACGACGTAAGGTAAATAACTATAGCATAATGAACACAATTTTGTTTGATTCTCACTGATACTTATCTACGTAAATATAAATCATTCATTATTTCATTACAGGTTAAAGAAAAGAAAGGATTAAAAAGTTCGCCATTTATTGATTTAAGCTCACTTCGGTCGCGACCCGCAAAAGTTTTGTCGTTATCTACAGGCTTGGCAGCGTTCGGTCTTTACACTCCGGTATTTTTTTTGGTAAGAGCGCACTCTCGTGTTGAGATTTATTTAATCTATAAATTATTAACTTCCTTTACTTTTTCAGGCGCTACAAGGTTTTCAGGAAGGCTTAGAGGAGAGTGCACTTGTGTTATTGCAAACATTTCTAGGCTTTGCCGCTGTGTTAGGCTGCGCCGGATTTGGACTTGTGTTGGTTCGCCCATCAGCTCAGTGTTTAGTATCAAAACAATACCTTTGTCAAACAGCTATGCTAGGTATAGGTAAGTAATGTGAATGTCCATTGAGTTTTTACTCATAATCTGGTGTGAATTTTGATTTTATATATTTTCTTTTAGGAATTTCAATGCTTGCCTTGAGTAGCGTAGAAGGTTACCATGGCTACGTACTTTTCGCGTGGATGTATGGTTTATGCCTCGGTGGATTTCTCTATTCAATAAAAATGCTGACAATGGAGCGCGTTCGAGGTCGTCACTTCACTAAAGTTTGGAGTACGTATTATATTCGACATTTTTAATACCGATTTCAATACTGTTGAAATGACTTTATTTTCTTTCGTGTAGGTTTTGTGCAAGGTGCAGAAGCGTTACCGGTTATCGTAGGTGTGCCGATGACGGGATACATCAATCAACAAGCGCCACGCGCTGGGTTTTACTTTTCTACTGCTGCTACTTTAGCTGGTGCACTGATGCTGTTCTTCGTTGGCTTTTCAAAGCGTGAGCCGGAAGCTCCACCACCTGCGCCCGCGCCTACTGTCTCAGACCCTTGTGCTTGTATGACGCCGCCGAGATGTGAGCCAGCGTGGTGCGCCTGCAGTGCTGGTGGGGCAACTGCGTATTGTGCATGGCCAACCACCACTTGCACCACCCGTCTGCCGAAATCACTGTCATACGCCGCACCACTCAACCGCACATGCTGTTCCGCGACAACTTATCCTGAATGCTGTCGTTCTGCAATCTTGCGACCTTCACGCAGCGTCCCAGAAGGTCTTGGCAAATGTCCGAGCACCTGGAACCGTGCGAGCTCTTGTAGGACTTCATGCAATCGCCGCGATGTTCATCTAATCGAGCAAATAACTACGTCCGTATGATATCGATATGTGAAAAATGAAACAGAACTATTGACTAAAACTTTATTCAACTGTTCAATTCTTTAAATAGTGTAAATTGTGATGTGATTGTGTAAATAATGTGTTTAGCGAATTTTTAACAAAAGACTTCTATCAAATAGCAAAAATTAATTTGTAAAACTAATAAACGGTTAATATTTGTGCTACAAATTAACTCTCATAAAAGTCTTCACTCTAATATGAATATCTTTAATCAACGTATGTTCTCATTCATGATTAGGTTGATGAAATTCATATATTTCGATTGACTAAAAAGACTTTTCATTATCAGAATTTAAAATAGGAGACTTTTTTAGGACATTTACTGTATTGTCATTAGAATTGAATATATTCTACAAAACTATACTATTGTTGTTACATTCAAATTATTAAAAAGTAGAATTTGATAGTGTCTCCAATTAGAACCTCTTTTCTAATTCTTGAACTAAATACTACGGGACCTATGTAGATGAATTAGTCAGAACATTCTTGAAATTTCCATAAGATTACGATTTTCCTTATTAAAATTCCTACGTTTTTTATTTAATTTACATGTCATTATCATGATGTTTCTTTTTTTTATTGCTCATGATAAAAAAAGTTTATTAAATTCACCGTAATGTTCAATAGTTAATAATAAAAGACCTAATATTTTTATGTTGTATAAAGAGTTAATTTAGGGCCTCTCCCAACAAATTGTAAATTGTCTGATAACAATCCAACGTGTAAAATATATGATGGAAATATCGGATTTTGTTCTCTTATGACAGTGACGTCATTTTCAAGCTATCTGAGCCTCTATCAGCCAGTTGTGGGACAGGCCCTTAATCTAATAAAGTTTAAACTACATAACCCTTTGTTACTAGTGAAGAATGTCAATTTTATCGGAATGATATTTTATTGTACAGACTGTAGTGTACTTGTATATAATAAATATTAATATTATACAAATAATGAGTTTAATATACATAATCCAATAATAAAACCTTAATATTTTCACTTCAAAATATCATGAAATATGAACATCTTTACCTATTTGTATAATACACATCGCATTGTGAACATCAAAGTATAACAATATAATGTTATATTAATATCATAAACGTATCTCCTATTATCCTGTGCAATTTACAATTCCATTGTTTCTGTATCGTAAACGAGGATATTTACGGAGACTTAATCCTGCAAAGAGGCTTTGAATACATCCCTTTGTGAGAACAAATCTTTTTTAACAAATGTATGCTTTAAACAAAAAAGTCAATATCAAAATATTGTTAATTGAAACAAAGCTCTTGTTAGTCATAAAATATAACAAAGTTATATTTGCTTGTGTACAAATAGTTTCAAATTTCATAATTACAATGCATGAAAAAATTGAGAGCTTTTGCACTGTTTACGAATTTTCATGTGCAAGCCAACGCTGTGCTTTGCTTTTGTTTCTAAAAGTGTTACAAATATTGTGTGTACATGAAATTAAAAGCCCTGTTTTTAACTTATATAGACCTATATATTTCTGGATTATTTGATTATTTACATTTTCTTAATGCATCATTTTTTCCTAAACAGTACAGATATCCGTATACGAATATACGTGGTCAAATTCTGCCATGTGATTGTTTTCGTGAATCTCCAAACACAAGGTTGTTTAGTTGAGAAAAGATGTATAACTTTGTGGTAGTGTTTAGAGGTTTATAATCAGTAGATACTTATTGGAGACTCCTATGTGCTATAACCACGAAATACTCTTAATAAAACTTCAGTTATATTCTAACGTTGGTAATAACACCAATAAATTGAGTTCGTCTAGACCAAGTAGACAGTAATATCTTACAAAGTATGTTAAATATTATTGGTTACAAAGGTTAAACAAATTTAAACGCTAAAATAAACTGTTGAAATTCTCAAGAACATCCCGTGTTCTCGATATTACGGTTTATTAATATAATAACATTTCTGCTGTATTTTATTTTTAGATAGTGATAACTAAAAAATATTTCTTTTAATGTCGGAATTGTAATGATGGAATAGCACTAAACGGTAAACTTACAACTAAGAAAGGAGTGGATTTAGATATGACGGCTGATGGAGATGTATGGAAGAGCAGCACATACTATGCCGACCCTCCGTAAGGGATAAGGGCAAGTTGATGATGATGGTAAACGTACAAACAACAAAACAAACCAATATAACATGGCTGAAAATAACAACATTTTTCTAAGATTGTTAATCTGTTTTAAGACTAATCAATTGTCCTAAAGTTTCTTTAGGAATTAAAAGTATAAAATACCAGCTGTTGCTCGAGACTTCACCCTCGTGAAATTAAAAATACATAGTCTATGTTACTCACTGCTAACATAGTTTTTTAATCGTGCAAGAATTTTAAAAATCGGCCAAGTAGTTTTTAGTCATTTCAATATATACAAAAATAAAAAGCTTTCTATATAATGTTAGTATAGAAGTATATAATAATTTAAAACATTATATGGCCAAAGCTGAAAGATATTATGTGACTACAAAGGTTTTATTCAGTAATCCGCTTCCAGATAATTATGAGATATACCCATAATAACTGTAAGTGGACGAAGAAAATTGTTGTCGACATTCGGATTATTTTGCTGCCTTTTATTGTTACAGTATAACAGGAATATATTATATCGTACAATTATTTTCCCATTTATTATACGTCTTTTTCTTTTGTCTTATTCAATTTCTGCCTAATCTCGAACAAAAGATAATACGAGAAAACGCCTACTTATCATCTAAAAAACTGTTTAACTTATCCACACTTCATTTCTAAATATATTTTTCTCGCTGAGACTCTACATGTGTTTGAACTCATGTTTGACGACCTACAGCCTTTCATACTTGACATTCAAAGAGTGTGTTCAGAACATTCTATAGAATATCAAATTCTTAAAATAGGTTTGAGGTCATTGAGCGGTAAAATGAGAGAAAAAATGTTGGTTCAAACTGATTTTATCATCATGAACGTTGGCAAATGATGATGATGACATCAATTTATTTCTTAGCCCACCTTACTACAACAAAGTACTATTTTTAGCACATCGGTGAATAAAAAGTCTAAATGTTTCAGAACATTTTATTTATTTGTCAGTTAACTTACTAATATTATAAATATGAAGGTTTAGATGAATGGATGTTTGTTGGAGTTTGTTGCCTAAACTCAGACAGTTAACAAACTTATGAAAACCGTTGAAAAGACCTAATGAATACGTCCGCGAGATCCACTTGACCTCTTCACGCTGCAGCACAGTTCACTGGAACTGTACATTGTTTCTAAATGCACACAGTTAACTCGCTAGATGACTCTTCCATTAATCTTTAAATATATCTTTATAGTTAGACTCTAACTTTTATTTACAGTTTGTATAAGTATTATTTGTATTGAAATTTTGAAAAGGTATATATAAATAGTACTATTGTTGATATAGATCTAATAATTATTAGACAAGGCCTATACAGTCACTTGATATGAACTCTAAAAGAACGATAAAACCGTAGGTATATTAGTTACAACTAAGTTAAAGTATTAAGTATCAACTTATTTTAAAGGCAACTTATTTTTATCTCTATTAATTAGAGAAAAGCAACGTGTTTAATATTTCGAACTATTGCTTCTATGTTCTGTGTGAAACTGTAACGAATTTCTGTTCGTTGTTGTCACCAATACAAGTAAGATGTCTGGTTACGGAGTGCGAAATAGCTTTCCGATATTCCTAAAGAGCACGTGATTGGATTTCTAAATAACTATACGTGAGAGAAATGTAAAATATCGCAACAAAGAAAATCATTTGCATTTTAACAAATATTATAATTTAACATTCCGAACGTATATCGAGTAATCCGTTACAATGCGGTCCATTACCCATTTATTCAAATTATCACCTTAATTTTAGATTTAACCGAATGTAACTCTTATTTTTATCCAGACAAGGATGTTTTTATAAAATCTAATATACACATTTTGCGTGTTAAAAAAAAGAAAAAAAATTATAAATCTTAGATGGATAAAGCCTCAGTTATTTCTAAAAGCAAATGTTTCTAAAATAAAATAGTTAAAACAGAATTATGTATTTTTACCGTCTTATTTTTCATTTCAATGATGATCTGTATGATATTTTCTCCGAACGTTTCACATTTCATGTAGCGACATATGCCCCGAAGAAATAAGAATTTATATTTAGCGAATATTGATTTTGTGTTTATTCAATTTGTGAACGCTTCGTTTGAAATCGGTTCATGTTATCATAATGTTTTGATTTATGGTACGTTACACTTCGGTCTGTTATAATATTTGTTTGTATAAATTACGAAATACCTATTACTCGTAGCTTAAAAATGTTGAAGACTAACCAATGCGTCTTCAAGTACTGAATGTTTTGGTACACTTTGGAGGACAATGAAATTGGTAACTTAATGAGATTCCAATCAGGACTTCATGAAAATTAAACCATTATGAAGTTTAAGAAAATAATAAGTTTCGTTACAGATAATAAAAAAAGGATAAAGATTAAAAAAACGCTACCAGCCGTTTTCTCTACAAAAATAAATTTCAACAAACAAAATATTTTACAGAATTGATTAAAACGAGATACTGTAAACAGGCTGAATTTTTAAAATTTTGATGAAATAAAGCTTTACACGTTTTATTACTAAAAATTTAAATTCATAAAAAAATTTCAATTTCAACTATAAAATATATATTCAGCTTCATGCATTTCACTGTACCCAATTTCCTGCGGTAAAGATTTTTTATTAACAGTATCCACATACTTATCTTCAAATAAACAAATGTTTTGTCATCTCTCATATCTATACTATTATAATAAAGCGTAAACACACACTTTTTTGTTGCCTAAGATGTTAGCAATTACAACATATTTTTGAATAATTCTTTTCTTAATAAAAAGCCCTGCACTTACATCACGCTTTAGGCTATATATTTTCAGGCCACTAAACTTAGGATGTAAATATTTTGGATAACAACCCTAATGTGGGAAAGAGACCATAAGTTGCTGCCAAGGAAGCAAGGTTGTCATCATGTCATGTCATTTTGACATTTGTAATTAGACAAATGTAAATAATACAATAGAATTTGCATAATTTAATGCGGATGAAGTCGCACGGGAATAGCTAGTTTAATATTAAAGAAAAAGTATTCTAGATA